ACTTCTGGAAACTGTGATCATACTCCTTGATGATCTCATCAGCGTTGCTGGGAGTTTCAGAAATTGGTTCCTTCTGAGAGTTTTGTAAAGTGTTTTCTAATTTTGAAATCTTATTCCTCAGCTCAGAATTATCCAATTTGAGACTTTCAGTCTTATTAGAGTCAGATTCAAGATTCCTTTTCAGGTCTCTGAATTTAACTCTAATTTGCTGATACCTTTCCAGGATTTCATTAAGGCTTTCAGCAAGTTCAGCCTTGGTAAAATTAACAGCAAAGTTAGGAAATACCTCTTCAGTGTCTGATTCAGAGTCTGATTCAGAAGCTTCACTATCTTCTGAAATGTCAGCCATGAGAGCTATGTTTGCCCTCTCATCATCTGATTCTGAGTCAGCTTCAGACGAGTCAGAGTCATCCCATGTAGCCATGAGACTTTTCTTCTTTTCTCTTCCAAACTTCTTTTTGGGCTTTTCCCTCTGAAGCTTTGGGCAGTCACTCTTGTAGTGTCCTTGCTCATTGCACTCATAGCTGATGATGTCCTTGGTGTTTGGCTTTTTGCTACTTGAGGAGCCTTCAGATCTTCTGTATCCAGAGGAAGAATCTGTCCTTCTGTATCTGGAAGAGGACTCGTTCTGATCAGATCTTCTGGGATTCCTGAACTTCCTTTGCCTCTGCTTCCACAGTTGATTTACTCTTCTGGAGAGGAGGGAAAGTTCGTCTTCTTCTGATGAGGATCCATCAGATGTTTCTTCAACTGCCTGCAAAACTTTAGACTCAGATTTTTTGTTAGATTTCAATGCTAAAGGCTTACCTTGCTTCTGAGGCTCGTCAGCTTCTAGCTCTATCTCATGACTTCTGAGGGAGCTGATAAGTTCCTCCAAAGTGATTTTGTTGAGATCTTTTGCTAGCTTCAGAGCTGTAACCATTGGTCTCCACTGCTTGGGTAAACTTCTGATGATTTTCTTGACATGGTCAGCAGTAGAGTATCCTTTGTCCAGAACCTTGAGACCAGCTACCAGAATCTGGAATCTTGAGAACATTGTTTCAATGGATTCAGATTCTTCCATTTTGAACGCCTCATACTTCTGAATGAGCACCAGAGCTTTAGTTTCTTTGACCTGAACGTTGCCCTCATGCATCATTCTGAGTGAGTCAAAAATGTTCTTTGCTGTGTCTCTGTTGGAGATCTTTTCATATTCAGTATAGGAGATGGCGCTGAGAAGGATGGTTCTGGCCTTGTGGTGATTCTTGAAGTCACGCTTTTGTTGGTCAGACATTGTTTTTCTATCAATCTTCTGACCGCTTGCATTCACAGGGTGCGTGTATCCATCTGTCACCATATCCCACAGATCAGCATCATGTGCCAGAAAGAAGCTTTCAATTCTGTCTTTCCAGTAATCAAAGTTTTCTCCATCAAAGACTGGAGGTTTGCCACTGAATCTGTCTTTGTCCTCATAGTTGTCATTGCTGGTGTGAGAATAGTTTCCTGCCATTGTGTTTTTCTGATGCTGGATCTTGTACTGACACGGTTAAGTGTTTTAGCTCAGAACCAGACGCTCTGATGCCAATTGAAAAAGTGAAAAACACAAGAAGGGGGAGTTGAATTATAAAACTGAAAATCAATGCAATGAACAAGATATTTTTATCCTGGTTCGTTTGATCTCAAACTACTCCAGTCCACCCATCAAGGTGATTTCGCCTCTCTCCAACGAGGTCGTAATCCAATATATTCAACTGAATATTACAGACTGCTTTAACAACTGCTAAAGCCTTCTTGATGCAAACCACAACCCGGTTTATCAAGGAAACACTTTCTTACAAAGAAGATAAATCTAGGTGTGAATGTTTTCTACAAAACTGTATCACAACTGTGATGTTTACACAATTTAAGCTTATGAAACTAGATTGCTAGACAATGATTGAGTAAGGAATTATGTAGCGTTTAGCAAACTGAGAGAAGGAAGAATATGATTAGCTTTTAGGCGTGTAAAATGTTGGAGAGCATTAGCCAATTCAATCTTCATATTCTTGTTTATATAGCACTGAGATTGTTGAACGTTGGAGCAATATTCTTGATTCAATGCTAATAACAAACTTTCCTTATCAAGCAGATCTTGTCTGGAATGAGGCCGTTGGTAATAATTTGCTTTCAATGCACAGTACCGTTGCTTACTTAATGCATGTTCTGGCTTGGCTCATTCTGACTCTGCTTAACTGCTGATGAACTGTTGTTTTCTTTATCAGAGTGTTGAGCGCAGTTCTGTTCATCAAGCTTCAGCATACACGTGAGTTAATCTTCTGATTCTGGTATTCTGATATAGCAACTTCTGATGCTGATGTCAAGAACCAATATTCTGATGCTGATTAAGTGTGCTCTTGCTGATACCTATCAGAGTTTCTGCAAAGCAGAACGTAATATTTTTAGGTAGCAAATAGTTCATACATGAATCATGTAAATAATATATCTTTTCATTTTGTTATCATCAAAACTTAAACATAGGGTAGTAGATTCAAACTTTGTTCTAACATACGAAAGATTTTGGACTAATTGACACTATTTTAAGGATTAAAGTAAAGTAAAACAGTGAGAATTATGAACTTAGTCAAACACGCTATGCGGATAAAGTGCTTGATAAGATCAAACACTTACGGAGTGCTTGAATTCCAGATTCCATTTTTTCCTACATTCGAGTTTTCATATGTCTTGTGCAAACTTGAAGTAGGATGTATTATTTTGAATATTTATGCATGTAGTTTTTGAGACAAAATAAGAAGTGTTTGAAATAATATTAGAAAAAAGTACTCATATGCACGATTCTAGCCTTGATCTATTTAATTTAAAAACAATTTCTAATAAAGTGTACCTTTTGTGGAAAGTTTGGTTACTAATAAGAAGTTTTACATTGTATGTTACATAAGGGGTGTTTTCCTTTAATTAAGGTTAGAAACCAACCAACAATTACATTATTAAGAGATGGACAGAGCAAAAGAAAGAACTCAATCAAACTTCAAAGGAATTGTAGTATTATCATTTCTTTGATTTTTATAATTTACACACTTTGTTTCAAATTTAATTCATTTTTTGTCCTTTTATACTTACAAATTAATATGGAAAATTATTGATGAAAGATAGGATAAACAACTACATAAACCATTTCATTATACCAAAAAATTTCTTAATCTTGTCTTGTATGATACTCCTGAATATATTATTGATAATGAAGTTGTAGGTGGAATGTATGAGTGTTTGAATATGATGGTTCTAAATTTTAAAAGGAGTTTTAAGATTTATTATCAACTTGAAAGCTTTAAATAAAAAGAGGGAAAACTTAATGGTGAATTAGCTATGCTCGCACTTAAAACCAAAACATCAACATAATGGTGGGGATCTTATAGAGGTGCATATCCTGAATTGCAATTGTTTAGAATGTAAGTATTGAGTGTAACTTGCGGTTTACCTAGTTGTAAAAAGAATTTTAGTAACTTTGAAAGGGTAAGTAAGATTTCAAGTGTTCAAATTTTAATAATCTTGAGTTTCTTGTTTTAAATTTTAATTTATAGTGGTTTACAATGTGAATATTGAGTTTAACTTCCACTTTATACGATTGTGAAAAAAAATTATAGTGTCTTTCAAATGGTAAGTAAGTATTCAAGTGTTCAATTTTTAATAACCGTGAGTATATTATTTCAAATTTTAATTCATTTTTAATTTATTTAAGTCCACACTAAAAAAATTGTTTAAAACTAAAAAAACTATGAATGATGTAGTTTATGTGACTACTAATTCGAAGTTAAGAAAAAACAAAGAAGTTAGAAAATCGTCTTAGAACTTTTATGAATGCATTACATGTGAAGATGAATGGCAATAGAATAAAGATTGTAATGATTATATTCATGAAGACATCATATTTAATCTTGGCGAAGATGTCAGTAGAGATGGTGTTGATGATGATTTGGATATTTCTGTTAATCTTATTAATGATGATCTAATTGATTAAGAATTATAAGAGAATGAAGATGAAGAAATAAAAGAGAATGGAGACGAAGTTGGAGATGAAGTTTACTATGCTTATCCGAGACTATATGACATCTTAAAGTTCTAGAATAGTTGTTTTGGGGTTGTTTTTCATTTGAACTTAGTTTTTATGGTCAAGTTTTGGTTTTTATGGTCATCCAAATCACGCTTCCATTGCTTAGTGTCCAACTCCAAGTCAATAAGCTCAAAGGTTGGTATCATGTTTTAGCCTCCATGAAGTGTTCATTAGGGAAGTATCTACTATTTAGAACTCTTGAAAGTAGAGAAGTCCCATTAGATAAAATTCTCAAGCATTTCTTCCCATCAAAGCTTTGTTAAATTCTATGAAACCCTTGATTCATATACCTCATTTGGACTTTTCCTTTCCCATATGATCCTACCTATGTCAGTGGACTTTCCTTTTAATTGCAGTGGATGAACAATATGTCTCTTTTGGCTTGACTATAGTTTATGACTACTCCACAATCACATATCAAGACTAGATAACAATTAACAATTCATGTGGTGGACCATTATTCTTGTATTTTACAGGATAATGATCTAGTGGATGAGGTCATCCCCAACTTGACCACTATAGATCTTAGTCATAGCAAACTTCAAACACAAAATCATGACTAAAACCTCGGTTGATAGGCTGAACAAATCAAAGAATTATAATCCCCAAAATTAGAATTGCAGTTTCTAATCTTGCAAAAAAAAAACAAAGAATTACAGTTTCTTATTGTCTTCTTCAGGAAACACTCGTGTACTCCTATGTTCCAATTATCACAAACTTCCCCCATGAGGATTGGAGGCATACATACATTTTCAAATAAATTAAAACTAAAACATAAAAAACCATTATAAAACCAAATTTACATGTTGCAAACACAACAATTTAGATAACCCCTAAAAGATGTAATAAAAATACAAAGGTTTACACCAAAAACCTAACTATTAAGAAAACTCACCATTAGTCCATAATACTACTATACATCCCAACCATCTTTTCTACTGTCAAATCCCCATTTTCGATCCGCTATACTTCCATACATCTCCGAAAATTTCATCAGACAGTTGCTTCTCAATCCATAATGCACCTTCGTGTTACGACTAATCGCTGCGCCAGAAAACTTTGAAGTGTCAATTGCCCAAGCTGGTTTGACGTAATCAACTGTTCTTGATAAAGAACTTGCATTTGCATACAAATAATTCAAAAGAACGTCTTCGCAGTTAAATAACTTGTCCACAGTTTCCCTCCCTTGTTTTGCTTCCTCCCCCCAGTACCTCTTGAAAGCTAGTGTTGAATCGATAAAGGCTGCACCGGTAAGAATCATGTTGTAGCCTTTATGCCTCCGCGCGTATTTTTCTCCTCTGTACTTTAATGGACTCCCAGCGATAAGCCGGGGATAGAATCCGACAATCCGGTCAGGATGTTGACGCCAGACATTAAAGCCTCGTTCGACATCATCGCATGTCATCATAATGTCATCATCGAGCTCGAGGACTGCTCGAGTTTTTATCAACGGGTCTTCCTTGAATCGGTTATTTAGAGAGTTTTTCTCCTCTATCCTAATCCTGACTGGTACCGCTGAATCTAGATCACTCATTTCTGGAGGGATTCCCTTGTTCCACACTACAACTATTTCGGACACGGAAGAGCATCTTGAGTAATGTTTCACATACATCTTCAAGTTCCAGAGACGAGCATCGTAAGTCATTGTTAATAATGTGAACTGCGAGTATCGACCTTTCAATGGATAAGGTTCTTCTGAACCGTTACCACCATAAATGTTTTTGAATCCTATGCACATCAATCCAACTCCAACTACAAAAATTATAGTAAGAATAATCCTCCTAGCACAAGCATTATGCTTTATCTTACCTCGGAGAAACGTTGGGGCTCGGTTCACACGGCTACAGAACCGTCTTACTTTTGAAGAGAATGCATTTGGCCTTTCCCAAGACAAGGAGGTTAGATTCCTCTTCCCTGAGTTATGAATGAACAAATGGAGAGGGACAATACAATTTACAAACCCGAGTAACACGCCCAATAGCACAATGAGTATAGCAGCGACTACAACAGAAGCACAACCAACCATGAGCCGTCGGATAGGATCTCCAGAAGGAACACGATCCCCATCCATTACACCAATCCAACCACCAGACGGAAGACGTTGGGCATCTAAGTGATGGTATCTAGCACCATTCCAAGCATTTCGACTCTTGTTTGACTCAACAAAGCCCAAAGGTACTTCAATTTCTTTGTATTCTTCAGCAGTAAGGGTTTCTATCTGAAAAGCACGCACCCGTCTCCCATATGTATCACCACAATCCTGACCCATGCGATAAAGATTTCCTTCGTATTTAAATGGCCTGCCTCCGTTGCGAGCTCCCAAGCTCTTGTCAACGTTATAAATAGGATTTTTCTTGTGAGGTTTCCAAGGACCGAGAGGTGAATTGCTATGCCAAATCTCTAACTGCCCATTTCTCTTGGTGCCAAAACCACTATGATCCGAGCCAAAAAGCCAATACTTTCCATCATAGTCGATGATAAAGGAATCAATAAGTGGCTTTTTTATAATGACTTTTTCCAATTTCCACTGCAAAGGAAAGTTAACTGCTCTGTAGAGACGGAGATCTCCTCTTTGACTTCCCTCGGGCATCATGTATATCTGGAAAGTTACAATTGAAACAATGAAACGAAAAACAGTTCAGTTCAGGTACAACATCATATTCACAAAACATAATACATAATTTTTCATGGAAACAATACCTGGCCATCGTGCCGAAATACATAAGGATAAGAAAGATGCCAATCTTCATTCAAGGCAATTCCCAGTTGTTGCCATGTTGCTCCCTTATCAATACTTTTTGAAACTCCAATATCACCTTGCATGGTGACTGCATTCTTTGTCTCGTAGAACAGGTATAAAGCATCTCCCTGGATTGTAACACCAACAGTATGAGCTAATAGGTTGGTGCAGTGATAATTAATATAAAAAACAAAATACCTAAAAACTTTGAACACCTCAATAATAATGTGAGATTAAACGAGTTTTCCATTAATATTTCGCATCACTCACATGTCATTTATTAAACATAATCATGCATGTTCATTTTGCGTACATTTGAACATTTACCGGCTTTTTAAGAAAGTTTATATAAGATGGAAAACGACTTCAATAAATAGATGAACATATGAGTGAGCACTGAATCTACATTTCATAATATTTACCGAACCGATATGAGCTCCTTAGCAGTAAAACCAAATTTGCAGTAAGATCCTATCTAAAAAAGACACAAAATAATGACCTTCAACCATATAGTTAAGAACAGCGCCTTGTACACAAGAACAATCAGATATCTCACTAACCCCACCAACCAAAAAACTTTCATCTAATTAATTTCTCAACATATGATATAACATTCTTATATCAGGCTTTAATTTATTGGGGATTAGTGTTTGTATCAAATCATTGACCTGGCAAAGAATACAACAATACATATAAAAATAGTGAAGTTTTTGCCAGCCAAAAAGGTCCAAAAGAAACCAAAAATACATTAAACTATTTCATAGAATCCACAGCACCAGATATACCCAAAAACAAAGGGTGACAAGAAACAATTGTTTACCTGAATAAAAAGAAAAGGGTCAGCAACAAAATTACTCGGAAATCCAGCATCAGAAACAGAAGCACAAGTCACTACAGGATTAGCAACCGGCCAAGCCGCGCTATCATCGTTTGATATATTCGACTGCACACAATCAAAAACCATCATCACTTCCATAGAACAATCAACAAACAATAATCCATCCCTCAAAAACTCACCAAAAAAAACCAATTCATAAAATTTCTCACTAATCACTCCATCACCCCAAAACCAAAACTCCCAACACACAACAAGGGTACATAAAAAACAGATATTTAATATTAAAAAACACTAAAGAAAACTCCAGAGAGAAGAAACTTACAAATTCTATAGGTTTCAAAGAAAAGGGAGAATCACCATAGAAAATCCCAATAGCCCAAGAACCCTCATTGTCATCTTGACACCCAAAAGGGGAAAGAGCGGTATGAACAGCCGGAGAAAACGCAAGCCAACCATAAAAGCTAGCAATCGATCCAAACAAAACGAAACAACCAAAGAAGAAAACGAAACCAGAAGAGAAAAACCGGTTATAGTAGTGTTGATTTTCCAATCTCCATCTACACCAACACTTCATACTCATATCACAACAACTATTATTACCACTACTATTAGCACCACCGCCGACGCTACTTCCTCCGCCGAGAATTTGACCGGAACCCATTTACGGTAGCGGAAAATGGTTTTGGTAACTGAAGATCTTAAACCGCCGTGGCAGCGCCACCGCGTTTTAAATCAGTCGACAGCATTTGACAGTTCACACAACAAAGTTTTCTCACTCTAGAATAGTTTTCTCTCTCTAGAATAGATGAAGGTTGGAGGGATAAAGTCGTAATTTCGGAGTATTAATGTGTGAGTCGAACTTCGTTCTTCCATTGGTGTCTCTATATATACCGGTTAGGAGCCATTGAATGAAATATTTTTTTAGTGGTCAATTTTGATTTCTCTTCACAATTTAAATCTTCTATTTTTTTTCTTTCAATTAACGATTTTCATATCTAGTTTTTAAAAAGGAATAAATTTATATTGTCAATAAATTTTAATTATTTTATTTTATTTTAATTTATTTTTAAAATGAAACTTATGAATAACTTTGATGAGATGTTTTATGTATAAAAAAAAAATTAACTCACTTTCTAGTTTGTATAAAAATTAAATTTTATACTTTAAAATATATATATTAAAAACCGAAATCGTTTTTATCATCATTTTTATAAAAGTAAAATTCTTTGTTTATGTATGGTATGTTTGTTTCGATTTAAAAAAATAATAATTTTTTTTTGAATATTTGAAAATATATTTAAATTTTTGTTTTTTAAAATATTATAAATTTTTTTATATTTTTTTAATTGAAACACTTATTTTAGAATTCTTTAATATACATTTATATTATTGAAGATCAAAATATAGTTGAAATTATAATTTTTTTTAAAAATTGTATTTCGAAAATAATTTTTATGAATATCTATTTGACTTTAAAATTAAATAATTTTTTGAAATTCTGATATTCAATTTTTTTTAATAAAATAATAAGATATATAAAATAATATTTTAAAAATAATTATTCAAATCAAATTTTTATTTGAAGTTTTTTATAAAAAAATTCTTTTATAAATTTTTTACACAAAATTATATAATATTATAAAAATTATTTTAAAAAAACTAAAACAAATAGATCCTTAATTTAATTGGTTCTTCTGATAAGTGTTTCTTGTATTCTGAATAAGTGGTTTTACATTTTGTACCAAAGTGATTATTATTTGGTCAGTAAATTAGTATAAAAAAATTTATTAAGAAATTTTTCATAAAAGTTCTAAATAAAATTTAATTTAAATAATTATTTTTAAAATATTATTTTAGATATTTTATTATTTTATTGAAATTATTTTAACTTAAATATATTTTTGGTTTTCATAAATATAATTTTTTTTTAGCTTCAAAAAACTATTCTTCTAAAATTTTTCATCTACACAATTGGTCTTTGACATTAAATATCACTAATAGAGGATGATGTGGCATGACAGAAGGACTAAAATATTAATTTTCTTGACAAAAATTTGAAAAATACCTTAAATTGTAGGGGTTACAAACCTCCTATAAACAAACTCAAAAAATTCATCCTCATTCAACAATACCTTCAAACAAAACCCAGAATTTAAATTGTTCTTCAACCTCAACAATATCAATGACTTTGTCAAAAGCTCATATATGCCTTATGATGATTATCATGAACTTCTACAAATACCTTCAAATGCTTCAGCATCGGTTCATGATCATCAAATTACTTTGTGGAAAGATAATCAAGAGAGACGAAAAAGAAAAAAAAAATAGTGTTTTTTGAAGCATGAATGATTAAGTTAAGCATGAATGATTAAGCGATTAAAGATGTAAACCTTAATATTATGATTTGATAAACTTGACTATCTAATAAGGGTAAATTAAATGAAAATAATCTAAAGCATCATATCAAGAGATCTCAAGCAATGTCAACATAAAGAGCAACATATAGAAGAAAAAAAACTTGTAGAAAATGAGTAATCTCCTAATTTAGTAAATGAGTGAACATATGTAAAATAAATGGGCTTTTCTGTAAAAGTACGAGGCTAAAACACACACACACACTAAAATTATTTTTCAAAACGATTTACCAAAGGAAAATACTTTTAAAACATTTCGAAGTTGTATTAGATGAATTAAGAGCATTCAAATAAGTCATGGGAGAAATTTTGACTTTTCTAATCAATTGGAGCATATGCTCAATTGATTAGAAATGCATAAACTTAAGGTCCAAGGTAGTTTGAGAACTTACAAACGTATATTTGCATCATCTAATCGATTATGAACTTGCTTTAATCGATTAGCTAATGGTAAAATGCGTTAAATGCAATTTCTTTTTTGAGCCAACCTCATACCTATAAATAGAGGTTTCATTTCTCAATTCAAACCATCCAGAATTGTGTTGACACTTTCATCTCTCACACACTCTCTCTCTCTAAAGTTTTATTTAACTTTCTCTCACTAAATATTTTAACCAAATGTCTTTGTAAGAAAAGTTTCTTTGCAAGTGAGGATATATTTATAATTTTAGAAATGGTAGAATTGTAAAATTCGCCAAGAAAATCTTTTGTATACAACTTGGTTGAATACTGTCTATTTTGTAATTTATGTGGGTTATAAATTCATCATATAAAAAACTTATATTTGGGGATTGTGTGATCAGTCCTAGGTTTGGTTGAAGATTAGTCAGTGTTAAAATATTCATAGATTCTTGGTCAGCCTGGTTAAAATTAAGATAGGTTACCCGATATTAAAAGCTTCATAGGTTCGAGATCAGTTCGGTTGAAATCTCACATGTTTTTGGTTAGTCCGGCTAAAACTAAGGTATTGAGCTCAGATTTTTTGGAACTTGAAGAGTAACCGCTCCAAGGTCCGCGTTTGTGGAAAGAGAGCTAACTGTTTTAATCCATCGTTAAGAAGGAAACTTAGCCGCTTCAATCTCAACAATATATTGAAGAAAAGATGCAAACGTCCACATTCATCGTCTTGTATTATTAGGTTGAAGATCGACCATCATTTGCTTGTATAAGGGGGTTGTTCACAGTGATTTCTGGTGAACAACCGCTAGTCTTCCAAACTATCGAATAAACTTAATGACTGTTATTCAATTTCTCTGGTAACTTGCAGGATCGACTAGATTAATCCTATGGAACATGGTTGTTTGGTTAAGTCTAATTGTAAAACTGGTATTCATATTCAGGACTTCAAATCAGAATTGTTTCTAAGATATCCAATCCACTTCGATTACTATACTGAATGGTTCGAAGGATAACTTCTATATGGTATTTAGGAATGTTCATGAAAAAAAGTTTAAAGACTTAAAATTGGGTAAATGGCAGGATTAAATGAGTGGATGCAAAAGTTACTAAATGTTTAGAGGGTTCGAACATAAGAAAAGTATTTAAATGCAGAAAGGCATAAATGACTTCGAATGTAAAGGCTTTAATGTAAAGGCAAGAAACGTAAAATGTTTGAAGCACAAATGAAACGGAAATGGAAGACAAAACTGGAAAATGTAAAGAGTTTTCATTGAATTGTAAATGCTGGTGTTATCATACATACATCTTTCGAGCATTCGTTTCCCTCTCCATGCGGTATTTTAAATTTTTATTGGATTTGTACAACAGATATGACACACGAAATCCTAATACTAAGACCTCTATTTATACTATTTCGACCATAACGGTCTTGTTATCAGAATCTGCCACGTTCGAAGCATGCAGAGCAATACTTCCCTCTAGCCTCCACGCGTCCTCGAACGTTCCAATGCTTATGGATTTTGAATTTCCAATATCCCGCTCACGTTTGAATTTCAAACGCCTTGGTACCTTCATTTCGAATTCGTTTCGAAAAAAACCCTCACAGATATAGTCTCATCATTATTTCGATCAATGCTTTAGACTTACACTCCACAACTATCATTCGAAACCTTGAACTTTAATATTTCCATTCGAAACAAACATTCTCTTCCACTCTAAATCATCAGACTTGCTTTATTCAAACAAAGTCCAATCATTTTATTTCGAATCATAATATCAAAATCTTCAGCCAACAATATGCCCCTTTAAAATATGTATTTCGAACCCTTTGAGAAATATTTATTTTAAATAGATTCACAAGATTTTGATAGGTCTTTTTGAAGAATCATGACATTTACTGTGCATGACTTTACCCACGTCAATCAAGACGCTTTTTTGAGCACCTAACCGTCTTGGACCAGTTACCACAGCATGGTGCGGTTTCAAAATAATGATTACTATTAATCACACTTATTACTAACACTAGCTCTTACGCCACCTCCCTCTGAATCCAATCAACGACTTCCATGTACTCCTAGTCCCTTTAGTGGGTGTTTACACTCACTCTATAAAACTTATCAGTTTAGTCTTTTCTTCTTTTTCTCCAAAATTCTGAAATCCCCCTCCTTTTCACTAAACCCTAAAACTTCCAGCAATCTTAACAATGTCTTCATCAACATCATCACAATTGAAGAAATTATCAAAGAAGAAGAACAAGAAAATCAACACAGAAACCATCATGGAGAGCAAAGTGAGTATTTATCAGAATCAATCTGTACTCAATCCTCAAGTGATCTCCAAAGAGAAAGAAATGTTGTACGCTTCTCAGGTATTAATCCCTACCACTGTTGCTGGAAAAAGGTTTGCCCTAATGGGTCCTTTAACTGTTTTTGAAATTCTGAAAGATACTAGGAAAATTTTTCCTGTTTGCTATAAATTCAAACCCTTATTCAACAAGATGGATGCCCCTAAGGCAGGAACTGAAGACCTCAGCGAATCATCTGATTCAAAAACCATTGAAACTCCAACCTTACCTCAAAAAGATCCTTTTATTTTAGATTACATTAAAAGTAATTTCAAACCATTTCGATCCTGCCCCACTTCAGATGTAGCATATCAAAACTGGTTCACTAAGGTGGAATCCAAAAAATCTCAACAATGGGAAGAATTAGGAATTTATAACTTAATCAAACTGTCGAGACCAGGCTTCACCTACAGTCACCCATTGCTATTTGCTTCATTGTACTTCTGGGACAACACTTATAACACTTTCCATCTTCCGGGAGGAATGATAACACCCACCTTCTTC